AGTATCACTACCACACAAAATAGTCATACTTGCTCCTCGGGGGTAGCCCTCCAATGACATTATCAAAAATCTATTAGGGATGCAAATGGACCGATCCGAATTTGGATCTTGATCTTCGGATAATAGGATCACTAGATGGGTGGCCCGTAAAAAGTACAGACCATGTTGGACCATGCCGCCCTCCCCTGGGATAACTTGGGGGGTCAGCTCAACATGATCCATGGCCCAGGCCCGTGTCATGCCGTGCCACGGGCTGGGCTGGCCCGTGGGCCAAGCTTTGGGCCAGGTCGGGCCGTGCATCGGGCCAAAGCTATTTATTTTAAAAATTTGACAAAAAACTTAAAATTTTAATTTTATATGAATTTTGATGTATACAATTGCTTATATATACAACAATTAAATAAATTAGTAATGTAAAATTAAAAAATACTTATTTAATTATAGACTATATATTATTATATAATTATAATTTATATAATATTATATAAATATATAAATAATATATATGGGTTGTGCCGCAAGCCAAGCCCGCAGCACGGCCCGCTTAATCGTGTTGTGCTGGCCCGACCGGTGGACCTAAAACCCCAGGCCCAACACGGTCCACACGATCGTGCTAGGCCATGTTGGGCCGTGAGCGGCATGACCCAATTTACACCTCTAAGGATCACTCCTAATCGATTCGAGAAGATCCAATCCGATATATTATATACTTATAAATATAAATATATATATATATATATATATATATATATGTTATTTATTTATTTATAAATATATTTTTATACATTTGTTATATTATTTATTTATTTATAAAAAACATGTATATATATATGATGAAAATAATAAAAAATACTTGTATTTTTTGTTTTAATAGTTTATTGATTTTTAAAGAAAACAAGTTGGATTGGATCAAATCCGAAGATCCCATTTACAATAGGACTCAAATTCAAATCAAGTCCTATCAAATCCGATCAAATCTTTGAACCAGATCGGATCCGGCATGAATAGTGTCAAATCGGATTCGAATATACCCTAATTCAAATCCGATCCGATCCATTTGCATCCCTATATATAGGGGTGTCCACGGTTTGGTTAACTGAACCATGGCCCTTTTTTTGTAAACCAAACTGGTGTAGCAGTTTTTCCATTTCACCAAACCAAAACCGAACCCAAACTGGTGCCATTGGTTAACCAGTCTGTCGGTTTCAGTTTTTGACCGATTTGGTTCTTTGGTTTTTTGTTTTTTTTTATATTTATAATATATATTATATAAATATATGTATAATATTATATTATAAATAATAAATGATATATAATATATTATAAATATTTTAAAAAATATATAATATATTTATAAATAGATCATTATAAATATAATATAAGTATATATATAATGAATATATATTTATATATAATACTTAGAAAATATGTGACATATATTAAAAATATATCTAAAATATACATATAAATATATATTTATATCAATTGGTTCGGTTAACCATCGGTTTTTTGTAGGTTAACTGAAAACCGAACGGGTCCTTCGATTTTTCAAAAATTCCAAATCGAAACCGAACTGATCGGTTTGGTTAACCGCATTTTGCGGTTCGATTTTTCATGGACACCCCTACCTATATACAAGGAGTGACTTATAACCCAATAACTTAGGGTTTGTTTGGTTTGCAAAGATTATGGCTCTGAAATTGGAATTGGAATAGACCATTCCAATTTCAACTATTTCCTTGGGTGGAATCAAAATCTCATTCCCATTCCTAGTGGAATGTCATTCTCTGTCCTTGAAATGAGAAATCTTGATTCCGATTCCGATTCTAGACTAAACCAAATAGGTGAAGGGAAATAGAGAATAGACTATTCTGATTCCGGTTCTACTAGTCATCCCTCAAACTCCATGGATACCATGGAGGATTTCCAATTTAGTCTACAAAAGAGTCTGGTTGTGGATGAATCAGCCTTAAACCATCATGGATAAGAACAGATTCATCAATGTTTATTAGTTTTACCCATTTATAGGGGATGGGTTTCCACCTCATGGAAATCTCTTTTTGAGCTTTATCTGTTGAATTATGCTTCTTATTAACACTCTAATAACCTAAACTTTGTTCAAACTCCAAGACCTTCCCTATATAATAGTAGAGACCAATCGGTCTTCTGTTATAATTACATCTGCAAATCATGTTTTTTTTGAGGCTGGAATGCCAATGTTCATACGTTGATTTTTGTACTTAACTTTTTTGGATAAGAAGGGTATCTATCTTACAAATAAGTTTAATTTTTTATTTATTTATAGCATTTGTTATTAACTGCATATGCAATGATATGGACAATCAATTTCTTCACTTTTGATTTGACAAGGCTGTATCTAACCTTGAGCAATCCTTGCAGTTCTAGGGTCAAGTCCATTATCTAACTTATATAAATTTGAAAATGAGTCATCTCTTCATTTTTTTTGGTGAAGAGCAATTATATATATATAGAGGAGAGGTGACGAGTCATTAAAAGTATAACAAGACAAAATTAAAACCCTCAAGGATCTTCATTGTCTCATAAAATTCATATTTATTCTCTAACGAGACAATTCTTGTATCTCTTTTCTTAATAGTCAATGTTTATAATATCTTTCCTCCTTATTAAATCATTTTTTTCCTTTTAAGGGGGCATTCTTTTTTCAGATTTTGAGAGGGGGGAAAAGTTGGTCAATGGGATTTTGGTTTCCATTAACCAAGAATCCCATATTCTTTTTTCATATTTATGTGGGAACAGGGAAAGTTTATTTTCCTGGTACCCATCTCCTAGGTGGTTAGATAACTTTTCCACCTAGGGGGAAAGTTGCCAACACTTAAATGAGACAAAAATGTTCTTTTTAATTATGGATTTTTGTGGCTAAAATGGCCATTGACTTATTTACATGAGAAATAAAAGAACATGGGTAAATGCACTTACTTAGGCAAGTGTTTCCCAAGAAAAACTTACCCAAATAACTGCGTTTACCAGGGTAAGTAACTTATCAAAAAGCGAATGGGGCGTAAATATCTTTTAATCCCTTTTGGTTCTACTTAATGAAGTAGAGGTGTTAATTAGATGGATTGGATAAGGTTAAGGGCAAACCAAAATGTGAACCCTATCTTTGCCCCAAACTAATGTCAAAACCCAAATTTGCTCACCAATACATAGGGTGAACCAATTTTCTTAACCCCCAACCTTGGTGGTAGCGGGTTTAATCCAGGTCTTTGCTACAACTAGCAAAAAAAAATCTATCAACTAAACTAAAACAACCATCAATTGGTTCTCATTCTAAGTAGTTGATTTGGTGAATCCCTGTTACTTCATTTTTAATCTTAGCAATACATTTTTAAAAAGCAGCACATAAGCTGGTCACTACTAGTATTCATTAAAGCAAGAAGAAGGGAAAACAGAAAGCTACATCTGGGCTTTTTACAGAAATGACTTAAATGAGATGTTGCAACGTCCATTAGAATGCTTTGGTGTTCTTAGGAGCAACAAAGCAAAATATAATTGCTTTTTGGTTCCTAAAACATCAAAAGCATTCCATTAATTACCAAAACCTGCCTTACTCTGTGTCAAAATGTCAACACATGTTGATGTCGCCAGCCATAGACAACAAAAGAAAAACAGGGAGGACTTGTGCACCCATTTGTGCTTGCAATCGATTATAAGACCAACACATGGACAACAAAGCAAACCTGGAGAGGTACATTATTGCCCTTTTCTCCTTAGTCCTTAGCTAAAGAAAAAAAAAGTTATAATGATGAAACAGTAGTGAGTAGATCTGCGTGGTATATAAAAGGTAGACCTAGACATGATATTTGACTGATCAAAGCTCAGGTTTAGACCGGAAACTCAAAACCCCAGAATTTTTTATAACCTAAAATATTTCTAAAGAGTTAGGACCCGATTAGACCAGCCCAACGTGGCCAATTACTTAAACAAAATTACCCTAACATGACCTGATCTAGTAATAACCAGTGCCACTCACTAAATCAAGGCATGGTATTTAACTTGGTAAAGTGGCACTTTTTTTTTCTACCTTTTCCACTGAAATTCATAGTCAGGGCCTCAATTAGGGGTGTTAATTGGACTGGATTTGGTCTAATCCGATCCAGTCCAATGTGAGTCCATTACAAATGGACCTGGTTCAATTCAGTCCAATGAATATTTGGACCGGTTCAGAGACTGTCCAATTTGTTTAAATTTCTGTTAATTTAGTGTATATTTGGCATCGATGCTGCAGAGAAAATGGTGCTACTGATGTGTGGATTGGACGCACCAACAGTGTCTTTTTTTTTCTATTTGCAAATATATCTGTCAGGTAGGATGTTTCCTCAAGCAACAACAATACTTTATGTTCAGTACCAGTGATCCATGTATGTTTTCAGCACTGATACCCATTATAGGAAGTCCATGTCACTGCCACATCACGTCGTCGTTGGCAACAACGAGCTGCAATATGAGAAAACGTCAAATTCGGTGTTGCTCCAAACCACGCCTTCTTGATTTCCAAGGCATGACTTGGAGCACCATTTTTTATGGGAAAACGGTTCCAAACAAACATGCATTTCCTAGAGCACTATTTTTTTTAACGTGGCGCTGTTGTGTTACCGTTTTCTGGAGCAAGATGCCAAACAGACTCTTAGATTGTTTTCAACTCAAACCTGATACATTGACACCTATGTTCTTATCTTCCATCAATGGACCAGATATTGGCTCAATCCAATATAAATTCATTATGGACGGACCGGTCCAATCCAATATGTGATATTGGTCCATCAAGTCCGTCCAAATTCAATATACCTTGTTGTTGGTCCGTCCAATCCGTCTAAATTGATTTTGATTAGGACGAAGTCCAACCCAAAACCGATCCATTGACACCCCATAGCTAGCCTCAATACCCAGTTGAAATCTATTGCCTATAGAACCGTCAGTAGTACTCCTACTTTCGCAATGTGAATTCAACTCAAGTCAACTGAAAATATATCCATGGTACCATGAATTTAGGATTTGAATAAAAATGTACAACTCAAATTCCTTTTCATCAATGAAACCCCAATAACATTGAATTGTCATAAAACATACATATTATTGGGGACCAGGGGCTGAAACAAGACAGGATCAAGGTCCTTGCTTTATTGGAGGTGGTGAACAATATGCAGAAAATTGTCCAAGGAATCAATCACCATTTCCATCAATTTTTTCAATGGAAGGATCCTGCCTTATTGAAGGTGGTCATGTGGTCTAGTTTATTTGGAGAATGGGGTCTGGGGTGGGGTGGGGGGACTGAAACAATTAAGAGTACGTAGCGCTCCTGAGTCCTGCCTAGCTTATTCGAGGTGATCATGTGGTCTAAGAGCCATGAACATAGCAGCATATTGGCGAAGAAGTCGGTCAGCGTCTCCATTTTCTGTTGGTTGAAGCGCAGGTCCTCTGGCCCTCAACTTGTATCGACGCCAGGAAAATTGTATGTTGACTGCTGCCCATGTTCTCCAGTTTGATGAATAATATCTGGCCGTCCTCTTGAGCCTGTCATTAGCAAATTTATATCTGAAATGTTGGGTGATGTATCGTAGATGATGTGCATCTAGCCCAAATGCCTCAGTTGCTTCCACACAGATAAACGTTGCAGATGAGGCGGGAAGACGGTCAATGAATGGGCGCCGGAGACACCATGAAAGTAGCTCATCCCCAAGGAAGTTCCCAGGACCTAGCATGCATGTAGCTACCATGCCTTTGCTCAGGCCTTGGCTACTCTTTATATGCCCATGCACAATGAACACCATTCTCTGCACTGGATCTCCTTCTCTGATTATCTGCTCCATCCCATGAATAACACAACTTATAATTAATCTGCTAGTTCATTGCCTGCGTGCATGATCATCAGCACTAATTAAATTAAACATTCTACCTACCTTTTCGTCTTTGGAGAAGAAAAGCGGTTTCACTCTATCGCAGATGTTGTCCAGAATAAGGTCATCCAAGTTTTGGAACAAAGGCACCTATATATGCACAATGTGTAATAAGGTAGCCAGAACAATTAGCTTCATTGATTAATTAGCCGATCGAAGAAATTAAAAAAAAAAAGTCAGAGAAAGTTTTGTTGCACTCTGCATGCCAAGTCAGAGATAACAGGGTTACATTCATTACCTGCCTGATGAGATCCAAGCAAAGATAGCGTTTAATGTCCCGCCTGAGTCCTTCTGGTAAGTCTTTAATCACTTCCATTTCATCTTCTCCTCCCATGGCTGCCCACCTCTGTCGTTCGAAATGCCGGACTCTGTGTCTCAGACGTGAAGGCAACTGCCTCCGCTTCATCCACCATTCCATATCTCGGCATCTCAACTGCATTTTCCGCTTCTTTGCCATGACCGAATGCAAAAACACCTGTAAACCCGCCCATGCAGTTAGAATATCAAATCAATCTCAAATTAATTAGTTTCATGGGTCCATTATTTCAACAACTTAATTACCTGAATATTTCCGATCAAAAGAGTGAAGAGCATCAAGCCACTGAGCACGATGATTATACTGAATATCACTTCTAGCCAGTGGCTCGTAGGTTCAAGGTCATTACCAAAAGTACTGCATTAAAAGCAGGTAAAATGGGGTTAAATAACAAGTTAAGACAAAATCAGAACCAGAAGAAGAAAATGGCAATTTAGTTTTCTTCCTTAATTAATTACCTGAGTGTCATCAAGCCCCAGAATATGGGGTAGAGGATCTTGACTGCAATAGAATTGCTAGAAACAACCGGAAGTGCCCACTTGTAGATCCCAAAACGGAATGGCCCATCACCATTTAAGCAGACTGGTAAGTTAGGGACTCCAATGGTTGTTGAATTATCCCGGCATGGACTCTCTATCATATCCGATGGCAGCGGAAGCCGGTAGCAGACCTCCTTGGCACAAGACAAAGAGAGGTTACACTTTCTACCTCTTTGGCAATGTTGTCCAAGGCATTGCGCTACTCTCTGGATGGCGAGGACATACCAGCAGCCCCCTGCAACCTGCAAACAAGCAAGATACAGAGGCATGCAGCAATTAGCTTAGCTTAGCCTACCCAGCTGAAGAAATACTTTTTTTTTTTTTTTGGCTTTGAGAAGATTTTGATGGAAGAGTAGGAGACATTGAAGAAAACCCAAAAGAGATTTTCGGAAAATCTACTAATTTACAGAAGAAAAGAAAAAGATTGTAAGATGAATTTTAATGGGGTTTTAGCTAAAGAAATATTTAGTTCTGCAATTTTGATGAGAAAAGGACTTACATGAGAAGCAATAAAGTAGGCAATGAGATTAAGGCCGAAACCCCACCAAATGGTGCCGAAGATGTAACCTGTAACCTTTTGCATTCTCCTCATAAGGTAGATGCTGTGGTAGACCTTTGGGAGAAATTGGAATAAGAATATCAATAGAAGGATTGTCATTATCAGCTTAATCTTCTCCTCTCTTATCAACTTTGGCACCACCAACCAGAAAACTGTCTGCAAAAGGAAAAGATCAATTAGAGAATTTTCTAAGCCATGCATCAGAACTCGGAAACTCATTAATCAGCATATTCAGCTTAAATAGATTAATATTCTTGATTAATCCGAACCAATTCAGACCAACCTGATTCATGGCTGGTGGGGACTGGGGAGGGTTTGTTTGAGATGGGGTTAGGTCCATTGACGTTTGGTTTAGGGTTAAGAGTTGAACACAGAGCGTTGGGCTGGGCTTGACCTTTAACTGGACCCAACGTGGTCCAAGTTGCATCAGTAGCCAGTACGAGATCCAATCATGTTCCTATAGGAATCATCCTAAAGATCCATATTTTAAAGTAAATGAAGCCCAAATCAGTCAAAGAACTCTACCAAAATGGTATGGGCCTTATCTCACCATTACACATACATTCCCCAATTTGCTGGGTCTAGTCCAGATCCAAACCTATCTCATGCCCTAAGTTTGATTTTTAATACTACCATATCCATGGTCATAGACAATTGGTGATACCTTTGCTTGCTTAAGACACTAGAAATAGGAGGGGGGGGGGGTGTAAAACTGAAAGAAGAAGTACCAGATGGACCGGCCCCATAACAAATGCTCAACCCAAACCCACCTAATCTGGGGCATATACACATTCATCAGTGGCGACGTAGCCCTAGAAATACCGCTAATCATAAACGGCCACGTATCATTTCTATCACCACTTGGTTGGACTCATTTCTGGTGACTAGAGACATTGGGCCAATCACGGCATATACACGTGAGATCCAGGTTTGAGTTGGCCAGATGGATCCTGATGGGCCCAGCATTATAGGTTGGGCTAATGTGGACAACAGCATAGACATCATCAGAAGTATGAGGTGGGACTGCTGCTGGTGGGTGCATACGTGGTCATAACTCAGAAGCGCCACTAGACTAGGCCTCATTACTTTGTGAAGCTTCCTCAGACTCAGAGAGGTATGTTGATCATAAGCCACGTGTTATTTGTGCTTCCACTTCTCTACTAATAAGACAATATTTGGTGACTCAGAGGACAAAAGCTACGTAAATTGAAACTTACAAAGAGCAACAGTTACAAGGCCGGTTCAGAACTTTATTGACTTTTGACGTTTTTGGGCCGCTCGGAGGTGGCTGGCAGGTAGTGCCTAAACCCGGATCAGCGGCCTCTGCCGCTCCGGCATGTCTAATATATATGCGGTAAAGCAATTGAATTAAGGGGAATTGTCTAAAATTTGCTACATTTCTCTTAAATTCACCATTAACTCTTCAAAATTCATCATCTAAATTTGACCAAATTACCCTTTAATGGCTACTTAAAAAATGGGTTTTAGGTCGGGTATTTTTAAAATATCAAAAAATGGGTCGAATATAACAAAAATACTAACACCAACCCGTTGGTCTGTTTAACGTCAAGTTACTGAAATGATATGGGGCTTCCAATAATGGTGACAAACCTGGGGAACGGGGAGAATGACCAAGGCGTCGAACCAGAATCCCTTGAGGGAGCGCACGTAGTGGGAAACAATGGAACGCGCGTCCCACACCAGCTTGCCGCACCCGATAACCAAAGACTCTCTCGAAACGTAGGCGAGTCGGAATTGAAGCCAGAGATGGAAGAGATGCACGGCGTCGACGACTGTGCGCAGCACAGTGACTATGGCCGCTAGGCCTCCGTCCATGTAGAGACAAGGCGCCCCGTCCCTCCCGATGGATAGCGCATAGAAGAAGAGGGGATCGACGGCCAGTGCCATGCCTCGTGCTAGCAGGAAGGCACGGTTCCACCTGTGCACGCGCTTGCTTCGAGGGTCCAGCACACGTCCGAACACCCATGTCGACGTCCGTCTCCGGTTGGACTCCGACCCCCGGGGCTTTAGGTTGTCCGCACGGTATTGGATGGGTATTAACGACGAGCCTGCAGAGGCCTCCCACTCGGGAGGGTGGACTCGGTCGCAGCTCGTAGAGTGGAAGGCAGGTGCGCCCAGTTGTGTGCAAGCGTAGCACTCCACCGAGTGTGAGCTGGGGTTGTCCTCATCGTCGTCGTCCTCGCCCAAATTGTTCCGGAGGCGAAGGGACTCTCCAATCCACCTGTCCATCAACGACATAAGGAATTAGATAGGATCAATATATGGCTTCCCTAATAAATGACCGATGTTTCAGCTGGTTCAGACTCTATCTAGAGCAGATCAGAACCCAATTTGTTACAGAGAAGAAGAAATGAAAAGTAGTTGAGCATGGAGTCGTGATGAGACCTTGGCAAGGAAAAGAAGAATTCCGAAAGTTCGGGCATATTGGGGAGAGCGGAACCATGGGAAAGTGACCGAGCGAAAGAAGAGAAGCAGAAGATGGCTGCTGGTGAATCTTTTTTTGACAACGGAAGAGATGATCGATATATAAGCTATTATTTATTATAATATAAACAGAGACGACATGATGAAATTGTGTCGTGATTAGGGCGAAAATAATTCACCACTCCACTCCAGGGATCTAATTAGAATTTAGAGCACTTAAGACTTGAAGCGTCCGTCCGTACTTTAAATGGATGATGTTTGAAGTGATCGGGTATATTTCTCTCTCACGTTTCAACGTTTTCCTCTCCCGAATTTTATTTGGAAGCTGCAATGAGCCTGTCCGTACTTTTCCGATTTTTTTATTAATCAAATTTTATGTAACATTGAAAGTTTTCACATTCAATATTTAAAAACACGTGGCCTTTTCATCCCAAACCTTTTTGGGCTGTCAACGGTCGGGCCTGCGTCAGGATGAATTGGTTCGAGAAAAGGTAGAATTAGGGGTGTCAATTAGGCTGGATTTGTTTCAATCCGATCCAGTTTAACATGAATCTATTACAAATGAACCAGATTCAATCCAATCCAATGTATAATTTGGACTGTTTCCGACAGGTCTAATTCAATGTTTGGATTGTCCTATTTATTTAAATTCATTTTGATTTAAATTCGGTCTATTAATACCTATATTCTTATCTTATATCAATGAATCGGATATGGGCTTAATCCAACAAAATCCAATATATATAATTTTTTTTACGGACGGACCAGGTCCAATCCAATTTAATAAACCATGTGTCCATCGTTGTTGGCTTGTCTTGTACTTTTTTGCAACTGTACATTAAGTATCAATAGTGTGCATTGTGTTAGTATCATAGGTCATCGATATCCACAATAGGGGATATTCATCCTAACAAACTAGGGTGCACGTCAGGTAGGAGGGTTGGGTCAGGTTTAAGTTCAATACAGGCCAACCCTAAGAATTGGACTTAAGGGCTGAGCCTGAGGTTATGCCCGATCTATTACATTATACCTCAGTCCCCACTAAAATTTAGTGCAATTAAGTTGGGCTTAAATCTTGGCTTGGTTTGGTTTAGCCAATTAATCCACACTAAAATTTAATGTACATGTATATATTTATGTAAGCATGTATGTAATAAAAATTTGTATACATGCAAATAGGTGATTATATCTGAAAGTATATATGTATGTATGTATGTATGTATGTATGTATGTATGTATGTATGTATGTATGTATGTATGTATGTATGTATGTATGTATGTATTGTATGTATGTATGTATGTATGTATGTATGTATGTATGTATGTATGTATGTATGTATGTATGTATGTATGTATGTATGTATGTATGTATGTANATGTATGTATGTATGTATGTATGTATGTATGTATGTATGTATGTATGTATGTATGTATGTATGTATGTATGTATGTATGTATGTATGTATGTATAGTTAGGCTAGGATTGAATTGGGAGAAGGTTGATCTGGGTTCGGGCTACCCAAGAGATAGGCCAAGGCCAACCCAAAAATTACAAAAACCCAAACATTTAGGTCTAGTCCAATTCGAGGACCAAAAATCCAAGCCCAATCAATGTAAAATTAAAAATTGGGTTGATCTGGACTCAAGCCTGCCCAAATTGCACCCATGTTCCCAATCCATATATAAATATCAAAGTGTGTGTCCACCAATTATTAATATGTATGTCTATCAAAAGAAAAAAAAAATATTAATATGTATATCAAGATTATTAAAGAAACATGAAGAGATTATGGCTCTAGTTGTTAGAAGATTCAAAATCTATACTATTTTAAAAAGCACGAATGGCCTTAAGAGTATTTCTAGAATTCTCTAAGGACAACATTTACCTCTCTATATTTAAATTTATTGATAAAAAATGAGGGCAAATAGGGTAAAAGGTTCTTGATATTAAATGAGTTGAAAGGAGATAATTTAAAGATATTTAATGCATTCAATTCCCTTTCATTAAACCCAACATTTAAGTTATTAACTTGCACTCATGTCCATTGAATCATATATTTAAGTATTTTTTTTTTCTTCTCATCATTAAGTTCTATTAATTAAATCCATATTTAATAAATTAATAATTCCAATAATATAAAAGCTTATACTTTTAAAATCTACCTAACAAAAATAGTGTTTTCATCTAGGTGGTGGTAAGGAATTAAATCATTTTATGTCAAATGGGTTAATCCATGTTGTCACGATTAAATAATAAAATTAAGAAATAGATAAAATGAAAAAAAAAATAGAAATTAAAAAATTGTGAATATTTTTAACATACATATTAAAAAATAATAAGTATGATAAATAAGAAATGTTTTTATTAATGAAGGAAATGGAATGTAAAATGTAAAACCAATTAGAAATAAAACTATTTTCCTATTCTTTCTCATTAAATCCTATATTTAAGATATATTTTTCTTATCATTAAATTCTTATAATTAAATACACAATATTAATTTTAGAGGTATAAAAATAAATATTTTGAAAAGTAAATTGAAAAAAAAACCATTTTCTTCCCTCCCGGTGGTGGGCAAGCAATTCGACCATTTGGGATAAAATTGATTAAATAATACCATAATTAAATAATAAAAAATTAAAATAAATAACTATGAAACGTAAGAAACATTTTTATTAATGATGAAAATGGAATGTGAAATTCAAAATCTACCTAGTATTAAATGATGTCATAGTCAAATAATAAAATTTTTAATAATAGAAAATACAAAGAATCACAAAAATAAAGAAAAAAAAGATAGAGAAAATTTCGGGCACATATCTAATGTTATATATTTATAAAAAAATAAAATATTGTGTACATCTCTAATATTGTGCATTCATTATATTAAACAAAAATAAGTTTTATACATAAGAAATAATTTTATCAATGATGGAAATGCAATACAAAATTTAAAGTCAACTTAGAAATCAAACAATTTTTATTTTTAGATGGTGGGTTAGTGGTTTGAGTCAAATGATACAATAGACAAACAAAAATCAAGTGCGATAATTAAAAAATATTTTATATAATGTAAATGAAATATATAATTTAAAGGGAAAATTATAGTCAAAGTCAATTGTACATTTAAAATTAGGTTGCAGGTTAGTCCAGAAACCAACGAAACTCTAACAACTGGCTCTACATTTCAAATTATAAAAACCCCTGCCATATCATCGGAGGCTTATGTAGCTATTGCCAACATGAGACTCTTAGTCAAATGTTTGACACATAAAAAAACCTATACCGAAAATAGGTTTTCATTTTCTCTCCCACTCCCTCTTTCGATCTCCCTTCCTTCTCTCTCACTCTCACAATCATCTCCCGATCTCTCGCTCCCTCTATCTCTCCTACTCTCAGCTTTAGCCTATAGCTAAATCAAAACCTCTCTCTCCCTCTCTTCCCCTTTCTCTATTGTTCTCCCTCAATCTTTCTCATTCTTCTCCCTCACTCTCCCTCTCGGTTAATATCTCCTTCTTCCTCAATCTCTATCATTCTTCGGTTATCGTAAATTTCATAGCCAAGAGTTTCTTGTGAATTTTTATCAAATTGGTGTAATGATTTTTGAACCATACCAAGTTGGTCTCATGTTATTTTACACGATCTGAATAATACCATAAAAGTGTGTAAGAAAATAAAAAAGCGAGAGAGGAAGCAAGAGAGAAACTGAGGGAGAACGATAGAAATTAAAGAAAAATGAGAGATCGACCAAGAAAAAGAATGAAAAAGATTGAGGGAGAATGATATGTAGAGAGAGAGAGAGAATGGGAGAAACTGATATAGAGAACGTAAAAGTAGAAACCAAAAACTATTTTTATTTATTTTTAAATTACATAGTCATTGAGCAGATAAAGATGATTGTGAGTGAGATTGAGAGAGAGAGAGAGAGAGAGAGAGAGAGAGAGATGACTGTAATTTTAACTACTGAGTCAGCTCTGACTATAATTTTCCTTAATTTAAAACTAATCCAAAAGCAAAACTATTTTCTTTTATAGATGGTGGGTCCATGATCCAACTTTTCAAAGAAACCCATGTTATAATAATTGAATAATAAATATTTAAATTATTTAATCATATTGTTACTTTTGTTAATTTTCAAATTCTATCTTAACTATGATATATCTAAAATTCAAGTAATTAATATGAAGAAAATTTTCCCACATACAACGCATATGCTTAATTACTAGTTAATCAAAAGATGCCATTGCATATGTCATAGGATCAAACACTAAATCATTATATTAATTAATTACTTGCCTACGTTATAATGTCGTCAAGCTGATTCTAAAAAGAAATTAATTATGTCACTTAATATGGCTGCATCATTTACGTAACAATGGATAATTGACAAGATGAGATGCGCATAAAACTATATTTTAACGAGTCCCCATTTTTTCTCAATCTTCCAAATCATTATATCACTTTTGAGGGATATATAATGCAATATGGACAAAACGAAAAAGTAGGTGTTAAGTCTCATGACAATTTGTTTTAATATGCAAATTAAAAAAGCTTATTATGTATGTAGTGCAATTCAAGCAATAAATGTCTCAGTGATGAATGAATGAGAATAAATGAGTACTGGTATTAATTAAGTTATACGCTTTGAAATGATGATTAGAGTGAAGAAGATGATGAGACGACTCACATGGAAATCATCTATTTTTATGTGTGAGAATCTGAACTAGAGAAGAACGAAAAGACCTCTACCTGATATGGGTTGGAGACTTGGAGATGATAATGTCCTTGTCACTAAATTTGTTTTGATCTGGAATTCCTGTATGTGGTCACCAGTGCAAACCCTAATAAGGCTAGCACTGTACTGTGTTGGTCCTATCGCATGCTTGTTTGTTTTGCTCTGCGCTGATGGAGTTCTGAATTCATCATCACACTTGACCTCTTCTGCTATCTATTCTCACCATGTGAGAGGTGACGAGGAGCCCTAGCAGAATTCGATCTGTAACACCCTACAACTTATATTTGTTTCTGGGTTCAGTTCATTATTGAGAGCTGGCTACCCTTTACCATTTAACGTTTTTTTGTCTTACATAAATAAATAAATTGCTCCCGGCTCCTGCTGGAATATAGTGATCAGA